CATGAAAAAATTTAATCGTAAAAAAATATATATTGTATTGCATATATAGGTTAAAATAACGGCATTCTTTTTTCATTTTTCGAAAATTAATTTAAAATTAATTTGAAACAATTTATATTAGAAATTAGGATTAGATTATTATTTTATTATTTTTATTAAATTGAAATTTAATTTGAATATTAAATGTAAAAACATTAAAGATAAAAAATTTGGTGATATTTAATATTTAGAGCAACTTGTTCGTTAAATTGATAGTTCACGATTGAGGATACCTAAATAATATTTTATAATCTCTTGTATTGTTGTTGAAAAATTATATTAGTAGATAATAATTAAGAAATTTAATTTAATTAGAATTTAAATCAAAATGTAGAGCAGTTAAGGATTGAAATTAATTAAAAATATTAATAAAAAATATTAATAATATTAATAAAAAATAAGGAGTTGCAATTAATTTTATAGTTGGCAAGAAAAATGTAATATTTCATATGGTATTATATCATTGATATAAATCGTTGTTAGAAATATTAATTTTCGAGAACATCTTTGTTCGTTAAATTAATAGTCCACGATTAAGGATACCTAAATAATATTTGATAATCTTATGTATTGTAGTTGAAAAATTATATTAGTAGATAATAATTAAGAAATTTAATTTAATTAGAATTTAAATCAAAATGTAGAGCAGTTTAGGATTGAAATTAATTAAAAATATTAATAAAAAATATTAATAATATTAATAAAAAGTAAGGAATTGCAATTAATTTTATAGTTGGCAAGAAAAATGTAATATTTCATATGGTATTATATCATTGATATAAATCGTTGTTAGAAATATTAATTTTCGAGAACATCTTTGTTCGTTAAATTAATAGTCCACGATTAAGGATACCTAAATAATATTTGATAATCTTATGTTGTAGTTGAAAAATTATATTAGTAGATAATAATTAAGAAATTTAATTTAATTAGAATTTAAATCAAAATGTAGAGCAGTTAAGGATTGAAATTAATTAAAAATATTAATAAAAAATATTAATAATATTAATAAAAAATAAAGAGTTGCAATTAATTTTATAGTTGGCAAGAAAAATTTAATATTTCATATGGTATTATATCATTGATATAAATCGTTGTTAGAAATATTAATTTTCGAGAGCATTTTCGGAAAATGGCCGAGATCCGCGCAGGAAAAACGTATGACGCACACGGTACATTTAAATGTTGAAGGCAACATCGCGAGCAATTTCTCTCGACAATAAGATACAGATAGAAGGGAAAGAAAGAAGTTGCACGACAATGTTCCCGGTTACCGTCGTCAGGAAATGCACGCGTAACGACCATTACCTCTACCGCGTTTGTCTCCGCGGGTGCTTTATATCGGCGCTGGTGCATCGTAGCGGAATACACTGACTATCCGAAGACGAACGCGACCCCCCTCGAATGCGCCCGGGGGGAATATCGAGGCGGGAAAATTTATCTCGGATCGGTAATGGGTCCTGAGACTCCGGTGCCGCTGTATCGGAGGTCCGGCGGTGACGAAGTGGCTTCCGGAAGTAACGCGGTAAAGTAGCTCGGCGCGTGCATCCCCCGGAGAATTTCCGAGCGACTGCCAATATAAACTCGAGAAGGCAGACAGCAGAGCGGCCGGGTAACCGGGCGCCCTTTTCTCCTCTTCCCTTTTCCTTCGTTACCCTCGTTGTCGTCGTCGTCGTCGTCGTCATCGTTGTCGTTCGACTACGTAAAGTGTCTCTTACGCGAATCGTGCCGTAAAAATGGAGTCGCTCGCGCGTAAATGTATGTTTGGCCTTCGATCAAGAGTCTCCTCCTTTACACAAACGATCGCGTTGTTTGAGTGAATTTTTCACGGAGAGAGCAAGCAGCGTTCCCGTCATCTCTCGCAAGTTTGAAATTGTTCGTACTTTGGAGAGAATATATATACAGAGTGTCCCAAAAGTCCCGGACCGGTCGAATATTTCATAAACTATGCACTTTAGAAAGAAAAAATCAGACAAAAGTTGTATGGCTTGAAGGGGGCCATCAGATAATGGCAATGATTTGATCTTGAAGAGTCATTTGACGACATCTTCAATTTCTTAAATGGAACTCCCTATTTTTTATTACATATTCGTGTAGCTTATCTCGAGAGATTTCCAAAACACTACAATAAAGTATTTCTTCATTGAGTACTTTTCGAGTTATGAGGCTTGAAATCATTTCTTAATTTTGCATAAACTAAAATATCTAATAAAATATTCATTTTTCGATTATCTTACCTTAATAATTTTCTGTACAAAATAATGAGAGGAATCAATTGGTGTAAAGAAAACACAGTTAGTTGTTTAAAAAAAAAAAATATGTAATTGTTAATTGCAAATTACATATTTTTTTCTTAAAAACAACTATGTTTTTTCTTTACACTAATTGATTCCTCTCATTATTTTGTACATCAAAGTATTAAGATAAGATAATCGAAAAATGTATATTTTACAAGATATTTTACGATTTATGTAAAATTAAGAAATGATTTCAAGCCTCATAATTCGGAAAGTACTTAATGAAAACTAACTTAATTATAGTGTTTTGGAAATCTCTCGACGTGAGCTACCAGAATATTTAATAAAAAATAGGGAGTTCCATTTAATAAATAGGGAGTCCAATTTATTGACGGTGATCTTCATGTGACTTTCAAATGACTCTCCCATGTCAAATCATTGCCACTATCTGATGGTCCCCCTTCAAGCCATACAACTTTTGTCCGAAACATTTCTTTCTAAAGTGCATATGTTTATGAAATATTCGACCGATCCGAGACTTTTGGGACACCCTGTATATGTGCGGTGTATGTTAAATCCATCTCTATTTCAATTTTTACCGATTAAATTTACGCCAATTTTTCAGAATTAAATCCTCCCGAAATTTTAACAATTAAATTGCTGTCAATTTTTGTTTGTTATACTTTTAGTAATCACACGCATAGCGCATAATATATTATCGAAATATCTACGCGATGTGTAATTTTGGAAAAAAATTAATCGTTTTATATACATACTCGGACTCTGGAATTGCACGATATAAAGTGCGCGATGTGCCGAATGAAATATTATTAACGGGAAAAGTATAAAGTTTTACGGGACAGCAGTTTCATAATGCAGATTTTATTTATTATCGAATATACGAAATACGTGTTGCATTCAGCCGTATCAAGTGAATTGATACATTGTCGAGCGATCGAATACGAATGGCTGAATGGGATACACGAGTATTCCTCGACAACATATTTCAATGACGGCTTTTCAATTTGCAATAGGATTGTAATAAATCGAAAAAAAGATTGCATTGTCGATGACCAAAATAAAGGTCAATAGTATAATCATTAAACTCGAATCAGTGGTTCAATTGCGTGACTGTCAATGAATCTTTTCACTTTTTATTTTTTCGCGTTTCCTACTTCACTCTTTGAAATCTCACCGAAAAAATACACACAACCGTAATTTAAATTTGCACGATATTTTTACCATCTACCTCTTGAATCTTTATAAAAAAAATTATGCGCTGTCCATCCCAAGATACCGTTAAAGCGGGTTTGCTTAGAAAATATAATAATAAATATAATTAAATATAATAAAATATAATAAAATATAATAAATATAATAAATATAATAAATAAATAAAAATAATAAATAAAAAAAATAAAATATAATAAAATATAATAAATATAATAAATATAATAAATATAATAAAATATAATTTAAAAAATATAATAAAAATATAATATAAAAAATATAATAAATTTTTCTTTTTAAATAACGTATCTTTTTTTAATAATCATACAACTGTAACCTAAAATAAATGCTTAATTATCAAAGAAAGAGCGTCCATCTTTTTAAACGGTATCGTCATCGTCTGTAATATCCTTATCTTAGAATCTGCGTACACTTTCTGATACTCATTCTCCACGCGAGTTATTGCGCTTAAGTGGAAGCAATTTGATCAAGTTAAATGCGATTACGCATTTACGGATATATAGAGCCACACCCCGTATATAATTATTACGCCGACGAGCACGATTTTCTATATGCGCTTAATAGAATCCGGCAATAAATCGCGGCACGCTATTCTGACATTAAATTAACTCGCGGATGAGCGGGGAGAGGGGGAGAAAAAAAGAGAGAGAGAGAGAGATGGGTCGAAAAGCGGGTGCTATAAAACAAGAGCGAACGAATCGTTCGAAATCAGCAGATTGCGTCGTTTATCACCCAAAATGTCCGAAAATCTATGTATACGATATGCGCGATTTATTCGAAACGACGATTTAGCGGCAGGCAGCGCTCACAGTTTTGTTTTTAAACCGCCACCCACGTCACGCTTAACCGGATACAATCGTGCAAAATTAATGACAGCATGATTACTACGTGTTGACGACCCCGCCGGGTCACAAGATTGTCGCCCGAAAAATTTCAGTCTCATATATTTTGCGTATAATTAAATAATATTAATAATATCCTCTCGCGTCGTGCAAAATATGTAATATGCATAAAATATGAGAAGCACAGTTTTCAAACGAACGAAAATAAACTCTTGCACGAGGCAAGGTTCATAAGCCTGCCTCCCCTAAATAGATAAGAGGATCTTATCCTTAATTAACTTTTAGTGAACTTAAATAAAGCCTTAATTTAAGATTCAGTTACACATGGAGATATTTTTAAAATCGAATATATTTGAAAATGTTCGATTCATTAACAGAAAAAAATTGATTGACAACACACAAGAATATATTTGTAAACTACCACTAGTTATGAGTTGGAAAAATTCTAATATCGAATTGTCTTAATTTTTCTTTTTAAATTCGACGTATTTGGAAGTTTATATTCGACGCTATTAAATAAAATAAAATAAAATAAAATAAAATAAAATAAAATAAAATAAAATAAAATAAATTAAAATAAATTAAAATAAAATAAAATAAATAATTAAATTATGGTAATTTCTCTTTGCAGCTCCACCGCGAAAGGTAGAAATCAGCACTTATCCAAACAAGCAGATAATCGAGGTGAAGGTGGGGGAATCCCGGCGATTAGAGTGCATCGTGAGGTCAGCGAAGCCGGCCGCCTCGATCATCTGGTATCGCGGAAACGTGCAGATCAAGGGCGGCGACACCAGTATCACCGCCATCTCCATCCAGGGTGGTAAGTAGCTATCTTGTTACGCGCATTGATATTCAATTACGATAATACCGCACGCGAATGAATATATCATGGTTATTACGCGACAAGGATCAAATAAGCGCGCCGTGTTATACCGCGTGTTGTAGATAAGCGCAGATTCTGCTCTAATAATGTGGTATTGTCTCATTAAATTTCGATGGAAATAGTAAATAACGCGCTCACGCGCGATAACGTGACGCCGTTTAGTCCATGAAAAAAATATTTTAATATTCTTCTTTGAATTAGTCTTCTTTTTACCTTGTCACGTATTTAATATCTAACATGTGTTTGTTTTTTTTTTGTGTGTTAATTAATGAGAATTCTGTGAGATGGAGATTATTATAAAAGCAATGATTATGTCAAAACGTAAATATAAAACAAGTAGGTTAAATTCTTTACAAATATTTTTCCTGATAGTGTAAAAAAAGAAATAATAATAGTTACATATCTTCATCTTGTTACACATTTAATAACTAACATGTTTGTTTCTTTTTGTGTTAATTAATTAATGAGAATTTTGTGAGGTGGAGATTATTTTAAAAGCAATGGGTTATGTGAAAACGTAAATGTTAAACGAGAATTAAATTCTTTACTAATATTTATGATGGTGTAAGAGCAGCGATAATAGCAGTTACATATCGACAAAAAATTTAATGTCATTACACTATGTTAATAATGTTGACAGATTAATAGGCAACTTTAATTCACATCCGTTATATCAGATGACATATTCATCTAGGGATATAAAAATCATTTTCATACAGTATAAAAAATAATATATATAGTGTGTGGAATATATGTATGCTAAGTGGACGCAAAAACGCGAATTTGCCCCTCGATATATTTACATTTATATAACATAATTTTTTATCTTTTCTTATTTATTTTCGTAAAGCCTGAATTAAATAAAAAAAAAAAAAACTTTTCCCCCGCATTATCTTCTATATAAGACGAAATAAACCAGATTATAAATTATATAAAGGATCTTTCTTTCCGTAACTGTAAAAAATATATGGTGAGATATAATAATATAAATACTGAGAGAATTATATATAGCGCACTCGCCGGTTATCTCAACACGATGTTGAAAAGACGAATAAGTAATCTTGAATTTCGCCGGGGGCTATTTCTTTCTTTTTTCTCGAAACGCTTACCGCGTCGCGCTCGTAAAAGTATAGCAAGTAAAAAGATTGAAGGGTTGGGGGTGCCGAGACGGGGGACTCCCCTTCTAACGCTGCTTCCAGTTGCCAAGAGCATCTTCGATCGATCCCGTGACACACAATTCTGGCCGCGCTCCAGCTACCGAAATTGACGTTCGTGTCTCGCGCTCGCGCCCACCATTGCATTGCATTTTTACATTCAACCGGAGACAAGTCGACGAGGCATCAAACGATTGCATTCCGAAAGAGAGGGAGCGGGACTAATATATCCTAACGAAAAGCGTCGATAAGAGTGGCAGGAAAATTAAGAGGAGCTCGTCGCAGGGATCCATCCATAAAACAGATGTTCGTTTGACTTTCTACGACGCGAGATCATGGGAACGAGCAAATAAGGATTTTTGCATAATCTTATATGCATAAAGATACTTCAGTTCTTACTCCGGCGAGTGAATGGATATCCAATGAATGCAGAAGTTAATATTTCTTGAAATATTAATTAATCTGGAGAGGAAAAGCGAAATAAAGAGGAGGGAATAAGAGATGCTTCTTTTAATTTTAAATTGAAATATATTCACGTAAACCCTATTATGCATAATAATTAACTCTTACTCCGTATACGGGAGTTATTTTTGACTCCACCAATGTTCTCAGATGCACTTTGAGCATTTCGCTTCATATATTTGCAATAAAAACGTATTTGCAATTAAAGCAAATTATTTTGCAAATTTATTATTGTAGCCTTTATTTAGAAGGATCAAAGCAGCCATATCAATTTTTTCAGGTTTTTTGAATATTTTTATTCTTTTTATGTTTGTATTTTTTATATTTTTATCTTTTATTCTTTTTATGTTTTTATGTTTTATCCTTTGAAAAACATATTGGACAAAAATGACCCTTCTGTATACATTGAAGCTGCTAAAAATAACAAGGCGGTGTAAGGGTTAATATTTCTAAATTAATTTTTTTTATAAACAAATAGATTTATATATATATATATATATATATATATATATATATATATATTGTGCGAATAGATTTAATAAAAATTCCAATTATGTGTTTTCGCCCGTCTGCAAAATAAGAATAAAGGATTATTTAATATTAGACTTGACTGCTTCGATGTACTATGGAAATTCAGCTATATATTTTATAAATCCATTCCGTTTGTCTATCATTCACACAAAGCGTACGAAGAGGTAAAAACGCGCATTTCTGCAGTTATTTCGCAAAGCATAAATCTATAATCGAAAAAAAGACAAATAAACAGACGCGATGGAAATTTGTAGGTATTTAAAATAAAGTTGCTTCATATTTAGCGGATTATTTGATGAAGGTAAAATGAGTATTTCAATATTATTTTGCATCGCATGTTCTTTTTATATTGTTTCTTTCAGTACGATGTATAATTTTTTTATCGCGATTATTGTATATCGTGAAAAAAGACATTTAAAAGTTTTTTTATGGTATATTATAATGAAAATCTATAAACTCTGTTTCTCCCGCTCCCTTTCTTTCTCTCTGTCTCTTCTTCTTTCTCTTTTCTTTGTAGTTGCGAATAGAGAGCTGCGTATTTTTTCAAAATATGTAATATATAAAATTTTTCGTTCCCCGTATCTACGCGATGGGATTATTTACATTTTATCTAATATTGTATCTGACATTACTTTAAATTTACAAAAAAATGAAACAAGAAATGCACCTGAATCTCTCTCTCTCTAATGATCGCAAGGTATCTAGAATTTAAATATTACAACTTTAGAGGATCGATAAATTAAGGAAAAAAAATATTTTAGATATTTGCTTGTTTTGAGGAAAATCGCAAAAAAGAACAAAAAGAGTTTTTATTTTTCCACTTATATATTACTTACTTATTTATTATTTATTTATTTATATTTATTTATATTTATATTTATTTATTCATGTTATTATTTCCTTAATAAAAATATTGTTCAAAATAAATGTAAACAGTAATTCATAAACAGTAATAAATGCATACATGTATAAACAATAACAAACTAATTGTAAAGTAAAGTGGATGTAATAATCTCTCATCGTATTTATTTAATAATTTTTTAATTTTACTTCAAGAGAATTCGAGTTCTCTCTTTTTTTAATTTTTCTACAACTTTCATCTCGTAGTATTTTTCGATAATAATTTTAATATTGCTTTAACTTTAATAATTTTAACATTATTTTACTTTAATATTATTTATTTGGGGAGAACTTTTTCTCTGTTCTTTTTTTTTTGCGACTTCCCTCAAAACGGAGCAAATCTCTAAAGAGAACTTTTTTCTTAGTTCATTGATCCCCCACACGCTCCCGAAGTTTTGACATTTAAATTCGAGATACCTTGTATATCCTTCTTGGATGCGTTATCTAACAACAAAGCGGAGCTACGAGACGCAAGTTTGCGCGGAAATAAATCACGAACGTCGTCGTTTCCTTTGTGTTTGTCACATTACGATGCTCGAATCTCGCTCGTCTAACAACAAATTCTTTCCCCGACTATTACGCATTCAGTCAAGCCGCCGTTGACAGCCGGCAGCATTTGTATCCGGCGCGTCTCCGAAAACTGTGTGGACCGCGTGACGCGACGGGAATAAAGAGCCGTGCGTCGCGCTTTCGCGTAAAAGCTCGCCCGCAGCTTTTAACGGAGATTTAAAAAGGAGCAGACCGCGAAAAAAAAACGTACGCGTGTACTCCGTCTCATAACGTATCCGACTTTTAATGTGAATTATGCTTCTTCGTATACCGCATGATGAATAATTCGCGAGTCTCAAATTAATTCGACATCTCGCGTGATCATATTTTTATACAAGTATCTATTGCATTTTTTTGCAACGTCTTGATTAAAGTCAATATTATCTATTTGAATTAATTTTGCGCTTAAATATTTAAGTATAAGACATGTTTAGCGATAAAAGAATTTGCGCTTAAATATTTAAGTACAAGACATGTTTAGCGATAAAAGAATTTGCGCTTAAATATTTAAGTACAAAACATGTTTAGCGATAAAAGAATTTGAAAAAAGAAATACAATACAAATTTAAATACATTTTCAAATAATAAAAATTAATTAATTTTCCAAAATGAAAAATGATTAATATTATATAATTTCAACAAAATTCACATTTCTTGTAAGGACACTAGAGAATAAACAAATAAAATGTTGCTGTAATATCCTTTTTGCATTCTTGAAATTATCTGTGAGTAATGCGCGAAAGAATAAATAATTTTAGGAGTGATAATAATAATAATAATAATAATAATAACACTAATAATAATAATAATAATGATAATAATGATGATGATGATGATGATGATGGTGATAATAATAATAATAATAATAATAACAACAACAACAACAACAACAACAACAACAATAATAATAATAATAATAATAATAATAATAATAATAATAATAATAATCAATGAAGCAGTTAATTGTGCAGCTAAAGTGAAAAAAAGCAAGTGGTACTTGATTACAATTCCCTACTTTGGGATGGAATAATATAAAAGGCAGTGATAATGAAAGAGAAAAAAATGGCTAATTCTGGCAGCCATAAAGTAAAAGCGGATGGCAGGTAGTATTTATTATATACGCGATTTACGCGGATCATGTTACAGACAAGGATACGACCAAGCCCGGAGAGACGTCCAGGGAATTGCTCAAGTACGACACTCACGGTTCCATTACCATCATGCCTACGGCGGACGATAATGGGATGGATTACACCTGCGAGGCCAACCATCCAGCTATACCCATAGACAAGCCCATGCGAGCGACCATTACACTCTCCGTTTTCTGTAAGTGCGACCGACATATAAGTGTGTACGATATCGTTTATACATCGCGACGCATCAATATTGAATATTGAATTAAAAAAGTGCAATTAAACGTTTTGATACGGGAGATAGACAAAAATTTAAAGTGAACACTGAAAAATACATTATATTTGTTTATTAATAAGATGTCAGGCCACCATTTGGTTTCAATAGAGCTTCGATTTTCCTTGGAGCTATCAAAGGCAAATAGTGGCCCGATAGTTTATTACAAATTTATTATTAATAAGCAAATCTAGTATTTATTTACTTTCCCTAAAATTGATACTAGGCTACCGATTTTTTTGCGGAAGATAAATCGATATTAATTCCTAATCTCGAGTACAAATGGGCTTTCGAATATAATTTCCACGCGATCAAGAAAAAGTATATCTTCTCCCTCTTTTCTTAATTTTACGATATTTAATTTGTATATGAGACTGTAATTAAGCCTCATTTGTGTGCAGATGAAAATGATTTCTCTTGAGAAATGTACCTACAAAATAGAATAAGATAACTAAAGGGTAAAGTAGTGTATACATATATATGGTTTGCCCCAATTAGAAACGATGCAATCTACTTAACCCGAATCTACTTAACATTGTTTTCACACAAGTGTTATCCAAATTAACGTGCAATAAGTTATGTTGAATTTATTACATAACGCAATGTAATCTCTTGAAAACCAACGAGGCAGATTTACATATTTGTAAAGAGGGATCCTCTCTTAAATTTCGCATGCACATCTTGCTATTCTTTGAGCTCGAAATGCCTTTCAGTCATGATTATCCGGATAAGCTTTCAAATAAGTTTCATTAACGCGCAAAGCTTTCGTATAACGATGCATGTTGCCTGATCCTTCGCAGATCCACCCGGTCCACCATACATAGAAGGCTACACCGAGGGTGAAACCGTGCAACGCGGCCAAAACGTGGAGCTCGCGTGTCGTTCGCGCGGTGGGAATCCGCAGGCTGAGATTGTTTGGTACAGAAACGATGAGAAGATGTCGGCAGCTCATCGCAGAGGAGGCGGCGTAAGTGAGAACGTATTATCGTTCGTGGCCCGAGCGGAAGATGACAAGGCGCGCTACAGGTGCGAGGTCTCCAACATCATGAGCGTGCAGCCTATGAAGGCGCAGGTCGACCTCACTGTGCTATGTAAGTGCAATTATCGATTATTGCGACGATCGGTAATTAACGTTGCATTTTGAGAAAAATTTTCCTCCTCTATATAAGGTTCTTAGTAAGTGGCAAAAATTTTAGGAGATGATTTTTTATCGAAAATTAAGGGGGGTATTTTCATATAAACATATACAGAGTGTCCCAAAAGTCCCGGACCGGTCGAATATTTCATAAACTATGCACTTTAGAAAGAAATATTTCAGATAAAAGTTGTATGGCTTGAAGGGGGCCATCAGATACTGGCAATGATTTGACATGGGAGAGTCATTTGAAAGTCACGTGAAGATCACCGTCAATTTCTTAAATAGAACTCCCTATTTTTTATTAAATATTCGTGTAGCTTATCTCGAGAGCTTTCCAAAACACTATAATAAAGTATTTCTTCATTGAGTACTTTTCGAGTTATAAAGCTTGAAATCATTTCTTAATTTTACATAAACCGTAAAATATCTTGTAAAATATTCATTTTTCCATTATCTTAATAATTTTATGTACAAAATAATGAGAGGAATCAATTGGTGTAAAGAAAAAACATAGTTGTTTTTAAGAAAAAAATATTTTTTTATTAATTACATATTTTATTATTACATTATTTATTAATTACATATTTTTTTTTAAAACAACTATGTGTTTTCTTTACACCAATTGATTCCTCTCATTATTTTCTACATAAAAGTATTAAGGTAAGATAATCGAAAAATGAATATTTTACTAGATATTTTAGTTTATTATTTAGATATTTTAGTATATTAGTTAAAATTAAGAAATGATTTCAAGCCTCATAAATCGAAAAGTCAATGAAGAAATACTTTATTATAGTGTTTTGGAAAGCTCTCGAGATAAGCTACACGAATATGTAATAAAAATAGGGAGTTCCATTTACGAAATTGAAGGTGATCTTTACGTCACCTTCAAATGACTCTCCAAGGTCAAATTATTGCCACTATTTGATGGCCCCCTTCAAACCATACAACTTTTGTCTGAAACATTTCTTTCTAAAGTGCATAGTTTATGAAATATTCGACCGCTCCGGGACTTTTGGGACACTGTATTCTTAACTACATTTCTCTTGTGGAGTTATACTCCTCCAAAAAATGGGGGTAAAAATTAGGTTCTTATTTTTTAGGTTCTTATTATAATTTTGTTTTTGTTCCAATTTTCCCAACATTTACTCTAATTTTATTTTTATTCGAAAATTTAACTTCTCGATTATTAATTCTAAATAAAATTTAACTTCTCGATTAGTAATTCGAAATCTATGCTATTTAGCATCGTGCTGTGTACGATAACGTATTTCATTTTTTTTTGAAAACTACAGATTTTATGAAAAAAAGTAAAAGAAATAAAAAAGTTTCTAAATAAATCAAACTTTTTAATGCATATGTTTAGATGATCACCTTCCTCATTAAAAAGTTCTAGTAAAAAATTGAATAGGAATTGCTAGTTTCATCCCCTTTAATAATATGGGAAGCTGCAAAAAATATTACTAAATAATCTTTTTATTAGTAAAAAATATCCACCTAATTTCATTTCTTTAACTGGTTCCAAATTTGAGAAAAAAATAAAAACCTAATTTTTGGAGGAGTGTAACTCCAGAGGGAGGGATGTATGAGTATATGTTTATATGAAAAATCTCCCTTAATTTTCAACAAAGTATCATCTCCTAAAATTTGTCGCACTTATTAAGAAACACTCTGTATATTGCTCTTTTGCATATATTTATTTTTTATGTATACAGGATGTCCCACTTAAAGTGACCATATCCCTTGTATTTTTTTAAAATAAAAGAGATAGATCATAATAAATATTAAATTAAATGATTCAAATTGATTTCTATTGTAAACATAATTGCTTGCAAGAACGATCTGTGTTAGCGAACAGAGGGATATGTATAATTTTTTTATACTAATGTAGATATTTCGATATATATGATAAAAATTGTGACGCTATTTGAATACAACGATGTATAATTTAATATAAATATTTTACATATTACGAGGTTTATTGGCTTGACTGTCACAGGTGACGTCTATCTTTTCACTTTCGATGACGTTATATTAAAATTAAAATATCAATATTAAATCAATGATATTTTATGAATATTTCTCAATTTTTTAAACTTATATTTTATTATTTATTAAAGCTTATGTTTGATAGCCAGCTGTTGTAAAATACGATAAAATAAATCGCGTCGCAATTAACATGATGTGCGATATATTTATACTACGTGTCATATAAAAAGTTAACCTTGAATTTATTAAATGTTCTATAATCACATTGATTATACGTTTTCTCTATTTGTATTTTTCGTGTTATGATCAAATGATACATATTAATTTTTAACTCACAGTCAGAAGTTGATCATATCATAAAGTTGAAAATGAAAAGGTCGCTCGCGATATTTCAAGCCGATAAAATTTGTAAATATAACTTTGTAAATATAATATATATATATATATATTATATATATATATTAAAGTATATATATATATTAAATCGTACAATACATCGTTATGTTGTATTTGAAATAGCAATTTAACTTTTATTTTATATAAACTTCAATAGACTTCAGTTTGAAGCATTTAATTTAGTATGTATTTATTATAGTTTATTTTTATTTTAACTTAAAAGATAAAAGAGGGATACACTGAAGATAAAAGAGAATATACACTGTGTCCCACTTAAAGTGATTAAAGACTTAATCACTTTAAGTGGGACACAGTGTATATTAATTTCGATCGATGTACTTAAATTTGATCTACCAGTGCATGCGATATTTTAAGCTTATCATACTAAATGATAGTGCTTTCAAGGACCAGTGGTAAATATAATCAAAAAAGGAGATAGAAGTAGGAAAAGTAGGAAAAAGATACGAATTTCGTTTTACATTTTGAGGATTTCAATTTTTCAAACTGATTTTGCGGGCAATGCACATTTCTCGCGAGTGATACTTGAAATTTATTTAAGATGTTAGAATATTAATGTCGCGTCTGGTGCCTGTCTGTGTGGCACTTAGCATTACTTTACCGTAAGGCATAGTATTGCATACAACTGAGGGTGCATGTGGCGTATGGACGATCTCTTGCCTTGACGGAACAGCCGCATAAATAATTCCGCTTCTCTATTTTCGCCGGGACCGCGTTCACGTTACCTAAATTGAAATTTTACTAACTTTATGCCCGCGTGATATATGGGATAAAGCTACAAAATACCAGCGGCTGACTTGCCATACACTTGGGGTAAAAGGTTACGCTTGTCGACACTGTTGCAGTTATCGATAAAGGAGAAAAGGCGAGTGAGAGAGAGAGCCTCCTGCTAAGTTTTTTTGTGCTGCCAAGAGGTTGTCAAAAAATAAAAATTTACAACAGCGAGGGACATTATTTTTCCAAAAATTATTCAATGGTTTTCAACTTGGGATATTTGCTTGGCAAAATATCAAGATTCTTAAAGCACAAATTTAACAATTCATATGATATTTATTCCACACTGAGAAAAATCGTTTGATTGTACCAACAAGACGTATATGATTGAAAGCATTTTGGTTAAATCAAACAAGAATTTCTAGTTATCATGATAAAATATTCGATTTTTTGTAACTAGAACGTTTAATAGATTTTATTATAAGGATTTGGTTAGTATTTTCTGGTTGGATCTATACAAATTTCTTGTTACATTAATTTTTTTGCTTGCCTCTTAACTTAACTCGTATTCAATATTTGCCATAAAACGTATATAAAGAACTAGTATTAACATTAAATCCAAAGTATATTTTTTTCTCTTACGAGCAGTAGTGCCAGAAAGAGGACGCTAGCTCTCTGATTGTGTGTGTTTTGAGCTGCATCCTCTTCTTGCATCACTGTTTATCAGTTTAATTTCTAACAAACTGAATTTAAAATAATTTATTCAATAATCTGGATCGAATTTATCCAATAATCTTGTTGGAATTCAGAATATTAAACAGACTTTTGAGATTAGATGGAAAAAATTTTAGACGACTTGGTGCTGGCGAGTTTAGTATTATTAACCAGAAAATTTGGTAAATTTAACAGAAAGAAATTAATCAGATTCATCTTGTAATTTTTACAAAAATTCTGCTTCATTCATTTTCCAACAGACATACTGAATCTACCAGAATTCTAATTAATGCAACCAAATTTTTTTCTTAGTGCACTGTTTATCAGTTTAATTTTTAACAATCTAAATTTAAAATAATTTTTTCAATAATCTGGATCGAATTTATCCAATAATCTTGTTGGAATTCAGAATATTAAACAGACTTTTGAGATTAGATGGAAAAAATTTTAGACGACTTGATGCTGGCGAGTTTAGTATTATTAACCAGAAAATTTGGTAAATTTAACAGAAAGAAATTAATCAGATTCATCTGGTAATTCCTACAAGAATTCTGGTTTGTCCATTTTCCAACAGACATACTGGTTGAATCTAAGAATTCTAATTAATACCAGAATTCTAATTAATGCAACCAGATTTTTTTCTCAGTGCATTGTTTATCAGTTTAATTTTGAACAAACTAAATTTAAAATAATTTATTTAATAATCTGGATTGAATTTATCCAATAATCTTGTTGGAATTCAGAATATTAAAGACTTCAGAATATAAAAATGTTAAAGAATTCAATATTAAAGAAAACAATATTAAATAATTCAGAATATAAGAGATTAGATGGAAAAAAGTTTAGACGACTTAGTGCTGGCAAGTTTAGTATTATTAACCAGAAAATTTGGTAAATTTAACAGAAAGAAATTAATCAGATTCATTTTGTAATTCCTACAAGAATTCTGGTGCGTCCATTTTCCAACAGACATACTGAATCTACCAGAATTCTAATTAATGCAACCAAATTTTTTTCTTAGTGCACTGTTTATCAGTTTAATTTTTAACAATCTAAATTTAAAATAATTTATTCAATAATCTGGATCGAATTTATCCAATAATCTTGTTGAAATTCAGAATATTAAACAGACTTTTGAGATTAGATGGAAAAATTTTAGACAACTTGGTGCTGGCGAGTTTAGTATTATTAACCAGAAAATTTGGTAAATTTAATAAAAATAAATTAATCAGATTCATCTTGTAATTCCTACAAGAATTCTGGTGCGTCCATTTTCCAACAGACATACTGGTTGAATCTACCAGAATTCTAATTCTAATTAATGCAACCAGCAGATTTTTTTCACAGTGCAGTATCTCTTTGACCGCTATATTTTAGCGCATATATGCATTTTTATCACATTTTTAGTTCTATACTAGGCATCGTTATTCGTTCGAATCCAATGCGTCTTCCAGATCAACGAACTGTTACCTATCGATCTGTTATTTCCACTTTTATAAACCGTCATCTCGGGTCATACCGATGAGATTTTTCACGTTTTTCACGATCCACAGTCGCGCCCGCCGGAGTCACCATCGCCGGACCAACGGAAGCGAAAGCGGGCGACCAAGTGCTCATTACTTGCACGACAGAGAACTCGAATCCGCCCGCGGACATAAAGTGGACGGTGGACGGGCGTAATTCCGAGAGCAACGCCTCGAAGACGGAACTGGCGCCAAACGGTGGCTGGATCACCAGCTCGAACGTGACGTTCAGCATTAATCACAAGAGCCGCAGCATCGTCGTCATCTGCCACGCTTCCAACGTCAAGCTCACGGAGAACGTGGTCGGCACGCATACCATCAACGTAATATGTGAGTACCCCCCCTCTCTCCCCCCCGCCCCGCCCCACTGTCCCGTACCGTGCACGCATATGCAAATGTCCGCTTCCCTTTATCGCGAGCGTTTCATCGGTCACTCGGTAGCACAATATACGACGACTGGTACATCGGGCAGTCGTAACGAGACCTCTCGCCCGCGGCGAAAACCTAATTTCCGTTTTGCACCGAAGAATTGTACCGGGTGTCCCGAAACTGCCGCAAGATACTTTGCCGGGAGAAGATTTTGACGATTATTAAAAATTTTTCAACGGACACGTGGCAGCGAAGATCGCTATTATATAAAATTATTATATAAAAAATATATAGAATTATATTAAAAAATTTCTATATAATAATACTACACAAGGTGTTTCTTAATAAGTGCGACAAATTTTAGGAGATGGTTCTTTGTCGAAAATTAAGGGAGGTTTTTCATAAACATATACTCCTACATCCCTTCCTGTGGAGCTACACTCCTCCAAAAATGCGGGTAAAAATTAGGTTTTTATTTTTTTCTCAAATTTAGAACAAGTTAAAGAAATGAAATTAGGTGGATATTTTCTACTAGTAAAAAGATTATTTATTAATCTTTTTTTCAGCCTCTCGTATTGTTATAAGGGGATGAAACTAGCAACCTCTATTCAATTTCTTATTATTAGAACTTTTATAACTTCTTATTAGAACTTTTTAAATGAATATGAAACATTCCCCTGAATTTTTGATAAAGAATTATCTCCTAAAATTTTCTGCACTTATTAAAAAACACCTTGTACATATACTATATAGACTTATTATATAAAAATTATTATATAGAATTATCAAATAGAATCTTTATATAAAAATAAAATTGAAATAAAAAAAGACAGAAAAATGCGAAATTTACTTGTTACTTATATCTCTGAAGTTTCATTTGAAAAATTAATTAACGCGTGAATGAATTTTTTTCTTAAAAAAATGCTTGGCTAAAAGAAACTTTATATTTTTGCGTAAACGTGGAAACATGCAATTCAATTAAAATACAAATATGAAAATATAATATTGCTATTGTATAAAAATCTTTATTTTTATTATCATCTGGTCAATCATAGATATACGCCTCTGATGCGAAAATATATTGGAGAAAAATCATTTAAGATCGTCCGAGATAGAAATAACGAGCGAAATGAATATTATAACGTGCAGATGTAAACAACACGTTGTAAAGTATCACCACAAATATTCCTTGAAATTTTTGTAACGCGTTTGGGGAAATTGCGATGATGATAATGCTGTCCATTACTGATGACATTTTCGTGACGCGCGGTGACAAATTAATCGGTCGCATCGCCCGGATCGTGCAAAACTTGCATACGCAATACGTTCCCACTCTCTCTTTATCTCTCTCTCATTCGCGAATCCAACGGCTAGAATTCATTTAACATATTCGACATTGCGTCATGTTGCGCGCCTGATACACTCTCGCAATAATACAACCGTAATCGACCGACATTAATTTCCACCGTAAATAAATAATCCTTGTATAATCAACTACGTTTTCAGCTTGTAATTACATGCATTAAAATTACTCGCTATCTGAATATACTAAACAATTAGTTGGTCTCCAATCAATAATACCGTCAATCTGGGATTAATAACGAATGCTACTCGTGTTCAGTGATGTAAAACTGGATTTAATCGAGTAATCGTTATAAATTTCGGTTTTACAAGTTTTTCATTATTCGAAGTTTTCGAATATTAAGCAGATTTTTTTTACATTTTTATATATCATTTAAAACAAACTTACTACGTAGATCTTTTTTCCATTCGTTCGTACATTTTTATTCTGAAGAGAGGTACTTTATCAAGTTAGTCGGGGATGGGAAAGATCTGAAAGATTGATGTAATAATAGGCTCGTATATATTTGCGGGATAAAAAAATATTTTACCGGTTCTGACTTCTCGAATTTGTCAAATTTCGTAGATCCACCTGCGAAATTAAGTGTCACCGGATACGATGAGAGCACAACGATAGTCGCCGGGACGGTGCTGAAGCTCATGTGCACCGCCATGGCGGGTAATCCATTGGCCACGTTAACATGGTACAAGAACGACCGCAAGGTACGTAAAATCGAGCGATATGTTCGTAGGAATACAGGCACAAGTCGAATAATTGCACACAAAAGGCATAAAAGGCTCAAAAACGCAGAACACACCCTCCTCTTTCTATCCACAAATATTTAATTAATTTACGGATAGGATAGAAAGGTGTATAGTAATTATTAACTCTCCCCGTGATTAATTATTTAAATCCAGAATGCATTTTTTAAGTCTTTTTAGAATTGACAATATCTCAACATTATCGATTAAATATTATTGAAAACTATCTTATGCATCTGAAGAGATGAAACTTCTCGGAGAAGTTTGCTTCCCCGACCTGAAATTTTCAGTAGCATTTTGTACAGATAATCCCAAAGTGTAAAACTCATCTCTTTCATTTTTTAAAATTTAACAATTATTAACAGTAACGACGTCGACCCTTTGCAATTTTCTCGAGTAAAAATTCCGGGGCCAAGAAAATAGAGTAATTCACGATTCATAAGAATTATCCATTTTAGTTACGGCTTTATATTTTAAAGACTTCTCATGAATTTTTGCTCGTTACTTATTCTTGAACCTTCTTAATTTTTGCAAGCGCTTTGGAGAAAAGGGCTCAACATTAATTTACGCCTCTGAAAACTTTAAGATCTATTCCCATTGCGTAGGATTGTATTAATATCATATCATGTATAACAGGTACCTGGTGCGGTAAGACAACGAAATCATGCCGTCTCCAGCGAGTTGGCGATACTTGTCAACGCGTCCGACAACAACGCTCACGTGCGATGCGAGGCGACGAATTCCGCCACCGAAATTCCCTTGCTGAAAGTTCTCGTGCTAAAAGTCCATTGTAAGACATGACTCACCCTCACTCATATTCATTATCAAAATTTTACCGTATATTTTTTTTCGTATTTTTTTTTCAAATTAATTCGTTTAATCCCTTTGCGTCAAGGACTCGACTCTTTTTTCGTAGATCTTTATTTTTTCAACTACTTTTTTAACAAACACCGGATTTTTTATTTCTACAAGGTCGCTAGAATATCAATAAATGTAAAAAAATATGAAGTCATTAATTGTTAATTGCAAAAATAAGATATATAAAAACGAAGTCAAAAAATTAATACTTTTTCACGGAGAAATGTATTTTCCACTAATCTATTAAGAAAATCAAAAGAGCAATTTTTTATTAGTATACTCTAAAGTATTTTTCAGAATTTTTTCAGAAATTTCCGTCGTGTTATTTTTGTATTAATTCTATATAAAAAATACAATATTTTTTGTATTAAATCCAAACTAACAAATACAATATTTTTTGTACTAAATCCAAACTAACAACTATTTTTTTAAAACTTTCTCTCTGAGAGTTTCTTCAGAGAATCTGAATTTAAAGGAAAAATTTACAATTTTTAAAATTTATTGTATAATTTCCTGCCATATTGGATATCCATCATCTTAAATTTCTTGAGATCGAAAATTTTCCCATCAGATTCGGACTTGGTAACCAAAAAATTCCTAGAAAACGAATTTGCAAAAGTGTTGGATGTAAAGAAAAATATACTCTCTAAAAATGAATCAGTGTATTATCACTAAAAAACAGTAAATAGTCACTGATTACAGCAGCTAAGTACAACACTGTAAATCAGTGATATTTTATTGAAAGAATCAGTTAATAATTTTGACTGTTTCAGTTCAATCAGTAATATTTCTCAATATCAGTAATATTTCTTTCATTATTGTCAGTAATATTAAACTATAATTCATCTCTCTATCTATTTCATATAAAATTAAAAATTTTATTTATATTTACTAAATATTTATTATATTAAAAATTTTATTTTATTTATATTACATGCATATTGAACTTGTTATTTTAAATAGATAACGAACGAATAATTTTTATTAAGTCGCTAAACATTTATTTGTCCGACTTATAAAGATCGATTTAATATCTAAAGCCTCTCTATGAGATTGTATCAGAAATTAAATCGAACTAATACTTTTAGTTTTAAATGTCACTCTTTGCAAACTTTATATAATTCTTATAATTAAAATTAAATACGAGAGAAATAGCGATCGTAGCAGTAAATGAACGAACTAGCGATTACTGGTTTTACAGTAAAATTTACTGATTTTACAGTGAATTTTATTTTAACTGACCATAATCAGTGAGATATAAGATAAAATAACAAAAAAATAAGCGTTTCCACTGAAAATCAGTAAAATACTCACTGATTCTCAGTGAAATCTTATTTTACTGTTTAAATTAGTGATATTTTCACTGATTCACTTTTAGAGAGTATAAAGCAGAAAGGGTTAAATAGAAGAAGCGACATTAAATTTTTCTTAGCGATAAGAAAAGCTATAGTGATAGAAATGATCGATAGACGTTGTACTTTTTTTTCTCCGCCACAAATCTCGCAAAAATCTCGCGATACTTGTTAACGGCATCCATTTCTCCTCCCTCTAGTCCCGCCCGAGAGGGTGAAGATTAACCGCGAGCCCCAGGACTTTCACGCCGGTCAGGAGGGACGCATAATCTGCGAGTCGAGCAGCAGCAATCCCGCTGCCGAGATGTCGTGGTGGAAGAACGGGATACCGGTACCCGGGACCAGGAACAGCACCAAGCCCGGATTACACGGCGGCTACCTGTCGTCCGTTGAGCTCGCGCTGGAACTAACCGAGGACATGAACGGCGAGGTGTACACATGCGAAGCGAAAAACACGGAATTAGGGAGGTCCGTCCACGACGCGACGACCCTGGACGTGTTGTGTAAGTGCAGATCCAAGTATACAGATCGCTCTCAAATGACATACGATCTATAGAGCCTGCGAAGAGATCATCAGGCACGTACGATCGCTTTCGATGGGAGCATTCAACCCGGAAATCTCCGGGAGCGCGCGAATGTATGATAGTATATATCGCCTGGTATCTCTCTCCGGATCATGTAAATTCCTCGGCATTTTTCGCCGCAGAAATATATCCCCATTATAATAACATACATTCGCGTTGCGATATAACATAGTACATATTACTGTAAATTGGAATGCGAATGAATTAGAAAAGAAATGTACGAAGTTATTGAAGAGCAAGGAATTAACTTCATTTTTTCACCTGCGGAAAATAAAATATAAATGTAACGTGCTACAAAATATTTAAAATTAAATATTAAACATGTGGAAATTATTTATGTACATATATATAAATTTAATAATTTTTTTTCAGACTTTTTAAAACCCGAACTCATTTATATCTATTATATCATGATTATGTATGCTTTTAGAAATGATGTTAAATATACAGGGTGTCCCAAAAGTCCCGGATCGGTCGAATATTTCATAAACTATGCACTTTAGAAAGAAATGTTTCAGACAAAAGTTGATGGCTTGAAGGGTGCCATCAGATAGTGGCAATGATTTGACATGAGAGAGTCATTTGAAGGTGACACCTTCAATTTCTTAAATGGAACTCCCTATTTTTTATTACATATTTGTGTAGTTTATCTCGAGAGCTTTCCCAAACACTATAATAAAGTATTTCTTCATTGAGTACTTTTCGAGTTATGAGGTTTGAAATTATTTCTTAATTTTGCATAAATCATAAAATATCTAGTAAAATATTCATTTTTCGATTATCTTACCTTAATACTTTTATGTACAAAATAATGAGAGGAATCAATTGGTGTAAAGAAAACACATAGTTGTTTTAAAAAAAAAAATGTAATTGTTAATTGCAAATTACATATTTTTTTCTTAAAAACAACTGTTTTTTCTTTACACCAATTGATTCCTCTCATTATTTTGTACATAAAAGTATTAAGGTAAGATAATCGAAAAATGAATATTTTACAAGATATTTTACGGTTTATGTAAAATTAAGAAATGATTTCAAGCCTCATAATTCGGAAAGTACTTAATGAAAACTAACTTAATTATAGTGTTTTGGAAAGCTCTCGACGTGAGCTACCAGAATATTTAATAAAAAATAGGGAGTTCCATTTAAGAAATTGACGGTAATCTTCACGTGACTTTCAAATAACTCTCCCATGTCAAATCATTGCCACTATCTGATGGTCCCCTTCAAGCCATACAACTTTTGTTTGAAACATTTCTTTCTAAAGTGCATAGTTTATGAAATATTCGACCAGTCCGGGACTTTTGGGACACCCTGCATATCGCGATATTATTTTTAACGTATATTGTGCTTATATTTTTTCCAGACAAGCCAATATTCTCGCCGTTAGATCCTTCTGAACTAACCGGCCTGGAAGGTGAGCCTTTTGTCATTTCCGTATCGGCAAGGGGCAATCCCAACACGACAGAGTACACGTGGACAAGGGACGGTCTGCCAGTGAGTAGTATCGGTAAGAGAATAACCGCCCACGGTTCCACGTTAAATATCACGAGATTGGATCGTCAAGACGCCGGCACGTACATATGCGAAGCATTAAACAAGGAAGGGACTACATTTTATCAGCTAAATCTCACTGTGCAGTGTAAGTGTAAACGATCATTTTCTTTCATCGCGCGATAAAATTGTATGATTCAATTCGCATTAATCCTTTTAGAAAACAAAAAGTATCAAAAATATAATGTGTGCTTAATTTTCCGTAAAATTGTCGATCAATTTTAATGAGGCTTGTCGAAAAAAAATTTGTATTGTTTTTATTTTCTTTCTATTTAATTATAATTTGTTTATTTAATTTTATTTATTTCCTTATTCATTTATTTTATTTTATTTATTTAAATTGATTTATTTAATTTTTTATTTAATAATTCATTTATATTGATTTATTTAATTTTTATTTAATTTTAATTTCGATTTAACATTTCTACGAAATCTCTCCTAATGATCTCAGATACGAAATAACTTTTCTGTTTTACATAATTTGTACACAAATTTGCTCTCTCGCTAATATGCAAATCACCCAATTTATCGTCTCGCTCTTTGTTATCCCGCAGATCCGGCGAAAATCAAACGCACCTCGTCGTCGGGGATAGTTTATCCACCGGGTGTCGAGGCGAAACTGTTTTGCGAAGTCGATGGCAGCCCGATCGGCGACGAGTACGTCACGTGGCAAAAAGTAGGCTCGAATCCCGAACTACCGGGACGTTACTCGACGTCCTTTGTTAATCGGACGTCGTATCTTCACATAGAGTATCCCAGTCAGGAAGACGTCGGCGAGTTCCGATGCAAAGTCAACAATCTCATTGGCAACGTAACATCGGATCCTATTCTATTTATTACGAATTGTACGTAGAGAAAGATTTTTATTGCATATTTCGATTATTCCATAATATTACCGAGTTTTAAATAAAGCGATACGATTAAACGAACAACAAAATTGATCAGAATCGCCAGAATTTAATGATAGTCATGATAATTTAACATCCCCGTGTATTGCTTGGATTTAATTTGTCCTGTCATTTCTAACAATGATGACCACAGTTTAATTGTTACAAAAATTATAATCGTATTTTCAAAATAAAGGAAAATAAAAGCGAGCAATATATTTAATGCGTAAATGAGTTTGAAATAAAAAAAGATCGAGAACTATATATCGGAGGATTAATAATATTAGTTGATAAATTCATTTACTCTCGATATTTGCAGATTAAATAATTATTAAGTCAGCAAAAAATAATTAATATTATTGATATTAATAATTAAATGTTATTGTGTTACTATTATATATAATATTATAGTATAAATATACATAGTATATATAGTGTTGTAATTTGCAATAATTACACTTGATCAATAATTAATTGATTAATAACATAGATGTTACAAAGATGCAATAATTACCGCGGAAATTTCATTTTTAATTGTAACTTATAAACTCTTACAATAAAAGGAATTATTTCGGACATATAAAGCGCGTAGACACATCGTGAAATATATCCCGAGTACGTTTCACATATCGAAAAGCAGAGTGCAATAAAGAAATTTACTAGTACTTTTTATGCGCAGTTAAACCGGAAATGACAAACACCCCGCTGACGCGAAAGGCAGCAGCGAACAAAGGAATAAACGTCCAATTGTTCTGCAAAGCGCGAGGATCTCCATTGCCGCGTTTCACTTGGATCTTCAATGGGAAAACTTTATTGCCGAACGCAACTGAGAATAAATACAGTATCACTCACAGCGATGTAAGTCACTTTATAAGACGTACTTATCTCTTAAATAACAACTTCCTTTACCAGTATATCTTCTTTAGAGCGTTGTTTGACCGAAGCACCAGTATTGTACTGCGTACTGTAAATCTTATTCTTCGTTTAACTCCGCGCGAATCTCACTTTGATGGAATTTTCACGTTGTACGTAGTTAAGGAGATATTTACCGTCGAAAATTCAAAAGTTGTAACGTTGTAATCTGAAGGGATAACATCTAATTAAAGCTGAGAGAATCGTAAATAGAAAACCTATATACTTGAAAGCTACACCTCTAATATTTTATATACTTTTCTGAATAATTTGGACAATTTGGATCGTTTTCTTTCAATAATATTTACATTTTTAGGTGTAAAAAGAGTGATAACACAGGTCTGAGAGGTTTCTTTTTTTAAGATGCAATAGTGATTTCCGACGTAATTTTGTGAGCTGAATTCGAATCTGGCCGCCGAATTTGCGTAGCACGTCATGTTTTTGAGTAATTTGTAATTGAATGGCTCAAAAATCGCTATTTTGGCCAATTTTATAAATTTATTGCGAGGAAACCAAATCTTTTAAAATATTTCTGCCAATGGCATCGTATAATACTCACTTTCGTCTTTCAAATCCACTTTCGATTACCGCCGCACGAGTTTTCTTCGCTGAGATATATAAGTATGACGTTGTAAGAAAATTTACGTTAAAGAAAATTTATATAGACATCAATATGGTAGATCCATAATGTTGAAAGTTGAAAAGATTGACATATGTCAGGTTTGGTTGTCCAAAAAAGTATCGTAAAGAAATATCTAATACAGTTGTTACACATTTTGATAAATTTTTCTAAATTTTATGCCTTTTTATTGTGATTCTATTCGCCATATTGGCGCCATTTTTAATTTCAAAAGATGACAGAAGGTTTAAAAATGTATATTTTCATCCTAATTTTGATTCGTAGCGAAATAAAGAGATGGCACGGTTGATTTAGAATTGCTTATTAGATCCGTATGCATAACCAGTCTTATGACTTGTATATCTGAGCGAAAAAAAATCGTGCCGCGGTAATCGAAAGTGGATTCGAAAGATGAAGGTGAGTACTATACGATGCCATTGACAGAAATATTTCAAAAAATTTCGTTTACTCACAATAAATTTATGAAATTGGCCAAAATAGCGATTTTTGGGCTATTCAACTACAAATAATTCAAAAACCTGACGTGCTACGCAAATTCGGCGGCTAGATTCGGATTCAGCGCACAAAATTACATCTCAAAAATCACTATTGCATCTTAAAAAGAAATTTTGACCTCCTTTTTCGCAGGCCTGTGTAATTATAAACTTCTCTAAACCATCCTTCGTTAATAAAATATTGATGTGCAAAAGATGATACCGAATTATGTTATTGTTATCGAGAAAAGCGGTAAAAACCGATCCGAGCTCGGATGAACCGCATACTTCCTCCGTCTTTTGCCAACCGTAGGTTGGCAGCAGTCATGAGTAAAAATATATCTCTTATCCGTTCTTATATTTCTCGCAGCTGTCCGAGCTTTATTCGGAGACAACATTGACCATCTACCACGTGAGATCGCAGGACTATGGAAAATACGAGTGTCGTGCTCAGAATAAAATGGGACAGTCCGTGGACGAAATACACTTAGATGTCACGTCACCGCCGGACAAGCCGAGCGACTTAGAGGTCTATAACGTCACGCACGATTCAGTAACATTGATTTGGAGGCGCGGTTTTGATGGCGGGTTGCCGACGTCTCATCAGATAAGATGGCGACAGGCGTTGGATTATGAGGATCGTTATCACTACCTGGACGTTTCGCCTGGTGAATATAAAGTCACTATAACCGGCCTGTCGCTCGGAACTTCTTATGTGTTTAGCGTGAAGGCTGTCAACGAGAAGGGAGACAGCGGCTTCTTGCCGGATCTCCTTAAAGTCCAGACACTTCGTAAGTAATAGACAAATATCGTAGTTTTCCCTTTATCGCTTTCCCATCCAAAGAGAAAAGGTCTTGCGTAGAAAAGCCTAATTATTGCATTATATAGATAGTATATTCAATAGGAATGATATCGTAAATATATAGTGTTGGAATTTTTAGTATAATTGTAATAGTAAATTACAAGATTTGTGTTATATAAACGTAGCAATAGGTAGTTAAGGATATAGTAAAATGATAGAAATCGCTTCGACTGTGAAATAATAATTATTAGCAGTTTTCCCTTACAAGCCAAGTATTTACATTAAATAGATAGTACATCGTTATTCATGCTACAATGGAAAATAACAGCTTGCTAAATCATTATGCAGATCATCGAGACATAATTAAACACGATTGCCCCGCATCCACATAATTAATCATACTCAGTAATTAGGTTGATCGTTTAGTGTGTCTCATGAACGTTCGCATGGCATTTATGTATATCATGGGTTAGTTGCAATAAAATGCATTAAACATTATGTAATGTAGCATCTACGAAAATTATCATTTGTTATCTAATATAGACACTGTTTGCTTGTATCTAAATAAAATTATCTAGATAATCATCTAGATAAAGAAATGGATTATCTTTATCTTTAATCAGGTGAAGAAATACAAAGTATCTTTATCTTTATCTTAGATGAAAAATATATGTCATTTTATCTAAAGATTGTCTAAGATGACGTTTTCATTATGCAAAAAAGTTTTCCAGGCTAGCTTCTAAAAATCTATCTAAAATATCTAAAATATATTTTTCATATTATTATTATTAATAATTATAAAATAATTTAATGTCGCTAGTCAAATAATCAAAGGATCATTGAAAAAAGTGTAGTCGACCAAACTAGCCAGAAAATTTGTTAATAAACAAATTTTATTGTTTATTAACAAATTTTCTGGCTAGTTTGGTCGACTACACTTTTTTCAATGATCCTTTGATTATTATTAATATATTATAAATATATTATCATTATATTATTAATATATTATTAATATATTATAAATATAAATTAATAAATAAATATTTATCATATCATTTATATATATATATATATATATATATATATATATATATATATATACCTTTTTGTTATTATTTAAATATTCTTTAGGAAAAGAGAAAGAATATGTGTTTATGATTTTAATATCCCATTTATAATCTGCGTCACATTTTTTACAAATATTTATAGTCTTTTAAAATAAACAAAAATATCTAGATAATTATCTAGATTATCGCAATAATTATCTCCTCTTTCAGAGAGATTAAGTAAAAGCAAAATCATCTTTATTTCATCTAAGATAAATTTACGGATTTTTATCTTTATCTTTATCTAGATAATTTTGAAATTATCTACAGCAGACACTGGGTATAGATTATCATACGCGGTATAGTGATTTTTAGCATGAATCATACATATCGACGATCATAACAATCAGCTTAGAAATTTTTCTTGGATAATATTTTTGTAAGAGACTCCAATTACGTTATATGAATTAGAAAAACTCAGCACAAAATTCTGAAGGTTAAAATACATAAATTATCGTCAATTATTCGCGCAGTTGAAGCTCGTTTAAAGATTACAGAAGACAGTCAAGCAGTGAATTACTGATGTTTGCCCTTTTCGAGAGAAGAGGACAACAGACAAGTTGAACAAGTAACCAAGTTGCTAGTTGCTACTGCTTAATTGCTAGTTTTGTATAAATTACCGCCATATTATCAGTATTACAGTATTACACAACTTCGAGGATTTCGAAGTTGACTAACAATGTAGATTCATTCATTGCATGAATAACATAAACCGGTGATGGGGCATTGGCTTGGGTTACAGGCGAGGCGCCACCAACCGAGTTGACATCAAGCGAGAATAGTTCCTCCTACATCATCATCATTATCATCACTGTTTCCACCTCTGCTTGCCTACTCATTGCCGCGACCATAGTCTTTGCTACAGTAAAATCGAAAAAGAAGGCCCAGCGTACGGGTAAATATATTTATCACGTGCTCTTTCTCTCCTTTATTTTCCTAGGACCAAATAAAGAGGAAAACCTGCCGGACGTCCTTTTGGAAAAGGGCGACTTTCCAATGAATTATATCTATACATTAGCAGCGACTTCCGTCATCATTTTTATCGTTAATGTCTTCATCATGTTGTGGTACATAGTACGAAAGCGAAATAAAGCTCGTAAGTTTAACGACTTATTGATATTTAGCGCGATATTCATTCTAACTTAGCTCGATTGCACAAACACGCTACAAACCAATCCAGTGTTCGACTACGATCACATCAGAGGATGAGCATAGTAGACTTTTGTTTCAGTTTCAAATTTTGAAACTTCAAAATTTCTCATCAAATGGTTGCGTAAAATTGCATCCATATTTAAATCAAGCTGATCAATCATTGATTGTGTAATATGGATTTGGTGTGAGCAGAGCTATTATAAATTTAATGCTATGAATATTCAAATTATTATAAGGGGTTTTAATCGATTATATGATTACATGTTTAAAAAATTGATATTAAACGAAATATAATTATTAAAAACAAAAAATATTGAATTATATCTCTCTTTCAATAATAGAGCTTCATCTTTTGTGCGATTCTAGTCTTGTTATTTGCGCTTTAATCTGCCATTCGCATATTCACTGCTCGTTATCTTTACGCAGGTATTAATAAGTCGCAGACCGCAGATATGTACGCACCGTCCACCGTCAATGGCGACACCATGACCGGCGAATTAAGTTCAATGTCGGATGAGAAAAGCGACGTCAACTTCGACGCTAATGATTACGTGGTCAGTGCCATCAGTCAGTATGTTCTTAGTAACAAATAATTCCGGAGGGTAGGTTTGAGTTCTAGCAACACTTTTTCTGTTCCATTTCCCTATTAGTTTTGCTAATTTTGCTTCGTTTCTTTTTTTCTTACATTTCGTTTGATTCCCGCAATTTTTCTTCCCTCATAATTCTATCTATCTCTTAATGCAAGAGGTGATATATCGCGTTTTATTTATATTAATTTATTTATAACGACACTATTCTTCTTTCTGCTGATTTTAATTTATTTTTTTATGCTTTTGCACTCGGAATAATATGTCGTCATATTATTAAGCTTGATATTATTTTATTTTAATTCAAATATTTTGGAAGCTGCAGGAAAATTTTTGGGTATATTTAGTGAAATTTGTTGAAAGTTTTTTAAATTGCGAAGTTAATTTTAACAATTTGAAGTAAATTTATTTTTATTGCATTAGTAATTTTATAACTTTTATTTATAACTTTATAATTTTTTAATTATAACTTTATAATTTTTTTACATGTAAACTTTTGATTCTTTGTGACATATGTCATAATAATTTCATATCATCCGAGCGCAAACAGTTAATTCAGCTAAGTATAAAATCTCAGGTAAATCTAACAGATATTTCTTAAAGAATGTTGGAATAATGCTGTCGTAAAAGCCGCTTGAACTTGACACTTGCAACATTTTAATTTAACGAGATTTTAAGAAACTCTTTACGTAATACGCTTCGTAAAGTAGTTACTCATTAAAACATTAGTTTCTTTTTTTTTGCAATAATATTAAATCTATTAGTATACAATGAAAGTAAGAATAGTGGGGTAATAAGATATGAAATAACCGAATGCTGGCGTTAAAATTCAATTATGAAAAAATAACCCTTTTAATTATTCATTTTTTTAATTATTAGCGCTATCTGATATAATAAAAAATTAATATAACTCACCAAATAATACAGCATACTGTTGTAGAACAATGTAAATGATGAAGCAGAATTTCAGCAGAATGTGCCGATCTGCAAATTAAAAAAACATTAAAATTTGCAAAATCTATTAATCATATAATATAATTATATAATTTTCCAGGATTAAATAATCTTATATTGCATGACGATTTGCAACTGACAAATTATTATATTAATTATTTAATTTTGACTCGTTCTTTATTTTTTACTATTTATCTAGTTAAAAATATTAACAAAATTTTTTAATGTTCGAAAATTTCCGAATAAAATTTCCAAATTTCTTATTATCGTATCCTTATGATTGAACAAAAATATGTCGAACAACAGAATACATATTTTCATTTTTCTTTAATAAATACGGATTTTCATTTTTCTTTAATAAATACGGATTTACGGCAGACTTTTTCCCGAGATAATATATGTGCTAAGTCAATTGATGACTGAATAAATTTGCTCACCAGCCATTGCGTCATTTCCACATCGTTACTTCGCTTCGAGTATCCACTCAAGTGTATTATAATCGATCGGAAACACTAATTACGCGGACATTAATTAACGCGACAATCGTTTATCGCTTTGTACGAGACACTCCTGATGTTTACCGCATTCGCGACGAATTTAAAAAAATTATGTGAGATCTTACTTGTGATCATCACTTTGTCCAATCGCACTTTTGCAGGTTCATTGATTCAAGCGTGGCGTACTTCAAATTGCTACTATTAATAATTGATTGAAATATTAATTTGATCGAACGAATTATTATTTACGATTAAATATCTAGTTTTGGCTTAAAAAAGAACATATTCCATCTTATAAGATAATTCGGAAAAATACGAACTTTGAATAACTAAAATATTTGCGTGCACAAGAAAGAAAAAGAGACGTGCTTCTCGTCAAGCGAAGAAAAAAGCGCGAAAAATAAATACGAAGAAAATCGTTAAATTGCGCAATTGCAGGTCAAAAATTGACGCGTCGCAAATTAAAATAGCGAGGGCGATTCGAAAAAGTAAAAAACGTGGATCGATACCAAGTTTGTGTAAACTTTGCAATAACATTTCTATTGATATTAATTACAGATTTATGCTTAATACGGCGATCGGAATTATAGCGATTAAGAGTTGTTAATTATAAATGATTACAGATTACACGGTTGTGTGATTAATTTATTATTGATTATATCATTATTAATAAGTTGCTAATTACACGGGCCGATTGTATAGTATAAATTGATTATATTATTAGTTAGATTAGTAAAATTATTGACTTTATAATATTATACATATGGTTCTTTTTGTTAAAATATGTATTAATATAAAGATTTTCGGAATGAAAAACACGGAAACTACACGTTCAAACAATACAGAGGAAATGTCACGTCAATTATCGACTTTGAATCACGCGGTTTACGATTTTAATTTGCAACGCGTCGTTTCGATTTACAGTACAGTGCAATCTACGTTAACAATATTGTTCATGTTTATCTCTCGCGCCTTTTTTTCCCTGACATGATGAAACGCATATATGTCTCGTGAATATTTTAATATTCTTAGTACTTAATATTTTAATATTCTTAGTACTTAATTAATTACTCAGAGTTGTAATTGAATAGATTTTTTTAAATACCAATTGATAGCCAGATGTTAATAAGCCACTATTCCTCCACTATCCATACTTTCATCGAAAATAAGATCTTAGATATAAGATAAGAATACTTGTAAAACGTAAGAAATGAAAGATAAAACATTGACGTACATTTAAGGTACACTTGCATTAAAATTAGTTATATATAGAAAATAATACATATATATAATTTATTTTATTATATATAAATTATATTTTTTATTTATATATATTATATATTTTTTCTATATATATATTATATATTTTTTCTATATATATAAATTTTATTAATATAAATTAAATTTAATACATATAGATGTATACATTATAAGTTTAATTTATATATAATAAAATTTATTATACGTAGAAAAATAATATGTAATATAAAAGATAATTCTAAACTTTTATATTATATATTAGAAATAATATTTATGGTAGTAAAGAGGTTTTATCGAAAGTAAAAATTTGAGACGAACAAATTTAGTCCGTTTTGGAATAATCGAAATCAGACTCATTGTCAGATCATAAGTCAACAATTGTCGTTCAACAGGACGAAGGACGGAAGACCGCAGCTAGCACGTATTTAATAGATCAAACTATCCAGGATTTCGGGAAAGGCGGTTTAGAGATGCAGGTTCATCAGGGCACCCTCGGTCGTCGCAGCAATCACATGCAAACATCCATGAATATGGACTCGCCGCCCCAGCGAACTACCGCTAGCGGGACTCTCTCAGGTACATTATATTTTTTAAACAATAAGGGATACACAAACACGATAAAATATATCGTTTATATTTTGCAGTGTTATATAATTTTAAATACGCTCCGTCATATTTTTATGCGAAACTTCACGAGATATTCAATTTACTCGCATATTTTCTTTATTTCTGAGATAGACAAGAAATGAGGTATAAGAGGAAAGAAATGTCAAATCAAACGCGCAATTATTGAATTTTAATAAATCACATTTTAATAAATTACATTTTAATAATATCATAGCACACAAGTAATCTTTCAATCTTTGGCCAATATTTTGCCATTTCTTTAGCTACAATATCGGTCAAAAATATTGCATCGCTTACAGAGATGTTATATTGTAATGAATAAAACATATAAATATTATAACTTTTATTTTACTGTTATTTTATGTCTTAATATGATGAAAAAATTAAAAATTATAACAAATATATAAGAATAGAAATATTAAATTTTTGGTCCTTTAAAATAATGTTTCTGACTCTCTCAATCACCGGATCTTCATCCAATAGAACTATTATGGATATAAATAAAAATGTCCAAAAAATGAGCTCTATTAATAAAAAATAACTGTGAAAATACTTGCAAACATACTGAAATCAAATCAGTAACAATTATAAAAGAAAACTATCAAGAATGCCAAGATTAATGCAATAGTATTGAACGTTAAAGATTATTTTGAAGAATCAAAAATTTAATAATATTTTTATTATTTATAATATTTACGATCAAAACATAAAATAATAATAACAATAAAATATAACTTGGTAATATTAATATATTTTGTTTTGTTCTTGGTAATATTAATTAATGTAACTTCTCTTTTTCTATAAGTGATACTTGTTGATCGATACTGTATACAGTGTTTGTTGTAGATAATTTCAAAATTATCTAGATAAAGATAAAAATCTGTAAATTTATCTTAGATGAGATAAAGATGATTTTGCTTTTACTTAATCTACATGAAAGATGAGATAATTATTGTGATAATTATCTAGATATTTTTGTTTATTTTAGAAGACTATAAATATTTGTAAAAAATGTGACGCAGATTATAAATGGGATATTAAAATCATTAACACATATTCTTTCTCTTTTCCTAAAGAATATTTAAATAATAGCAAAAAGGTATATAAATGATATGATAAATGTTTATTTATTAATTTATATTTATAATATATTTATAATATATTAATAATAATAATATAAAAAATATATTTTAGATATTTTAGATAGATTTTTAGAAGCTTGCCTGGAAAACTTTTTTGCATAATGAAAACGTCATCTTAGACAATTTTTAAATAAGATGACATATATTTTTCATATAAGATAAAGATAAAGATACTTTGTATTTCTTCATCTAGTTAAAGATAAAGATGATCCATTTTTTATCTAGATGATTATCTAGATAATTTTACCTAGATAAGCAAACACTGACTGTATAAAATTCTAACTACCTCTTATGTTTAATATCTTTCTAACGTTTGTATTGTACATTATTTATATTACCATCTGTACGAATGTTACAGTGTCAAAGTCGAGTTACATCGGTAATCCGAGCCCGGCGCCGCCCAATGATGTGAGCTTCTACAGCGTGGAGATGGACAACGGCGGTCGGGGCTACATAAGCTACGACAGCAATCCGAGTCCGGCGCCTCCCGTCATCGGCGATCCATCTGGCGGGCCTTACTACCCCACGTCGATGGGCTCGACTGGTCATATAATGGGCGGGCACTTGGTGGGTGCTGGTACTGGCACCCTGACGCGCACCAGGACGCTGCCGCGTCCTGTACCTCCGCCCGACGTTACCGTGATGACCGCGGGCACCAAGTCGCCGATACCGCCGTCAGTACCGCCGCCACCGGCCACGTTCGCCCGGGTCGGCGCCAACGGTGGGTCCCATTCGCACCCGCATTCGCACCCGGCCCCCCCGCCACCGCCCTGCCAGAGCCACCCGCTGTCAACGTTCGCGGCAACACCGAGTTATTCCGACATCGATGGCCATCTTGTCTGAGGCTCACCAATCTTCGGGCCCAGCTCGGTGCGCGGCAAATACCGCGCCGTCGCCCAGGACGACGACGAGGATTGTCGACCGGTCGCGGTCACGGAGAGGAGCACGCGTCTTTGAACGACGCGGAGTGTCGTGATGACGGATCCTCTTCTAAATCATTCGCATCGTTGAAATCGTCACCGATCATCTCCCTGAGCGACGACGAGCAGGTTCGCGAACGACGGCATCACGGCTTGAAGATCCTACAGCACTCATCATCATGCATCTAAACAATCTCCGAGGACTCTGTTTGGTGCACGAGAACGAAAGTGTGTAAATAGAAAAAGACAGAAAGGGAGAGAATGAAAAGGATACTGAGAGACGAGAACGGTGCACCAGATAAACATGCTGTAAACACGCCTTTCCCTTCCATGCGGCTACTTTCTAGATGAGAGGAGACATGCGCGGGGCTCTCCTATGCGATTGAATTCTAATCTTAGGAATATATGTATAATCGAATGAGCGATGGCGATCCTAGAGAAAGAGAGAACGATCACGCTAGCACGCGTGAGCGTACTCCAAAAAAACCTCGAAGGATGATTTTACTGTTCCATTTCCGCTATTCTGCCTCTTCCCCCAACTTTACCATTTCTCCCAGACAGCAGACATGTCCAAAAGACATCTAAAAGACGACTTAAAGACGTCTTAAAGTCCTTTAGACATCTTCAAGACATCTTTTGGCCTTTTCGTGCTGTCTGGGTACTCTAACTCATTGTCTTTGTCTGCTCGCCTTAGCGTTAGTTGATATCCGCTAACACAGCGATCATAGCGTAATCAATGCTTACGATCGAAGCTCCAAATCGATATACCGATTTTATCGAGGAAAGTATATTTTCTGTAAATACACACGTAATCAGAAAGATAGATGAAAAAATACTCGCGGCAATAATTTCGTTCTTTGGTTACTTCATGTCAGTATATATTTATCGTAACAATTATGTTTAGATATCACTATGCAGGTATCAACGACAGTCGAGAAATTCGCGAGACATCTTTGAAATGTCACCCGAAAAGTGATTTTCTTCACTCCGAACGTGTGATTGACGCTGAAATAATTCTAAATCTGAAATCACAGATCTTCACGATCAACACTGATATTATTATTGTCAGTATAAATATCAAACGGATTTACATCCGTTTTCCTTGGTACTAGAATAGCTAACCCCATTCCATAGCTTAAAGTTGGAAGGACGAAAATTTCGAAATATTTGATTGATCTCATATTATAAGGAAAAGTATAGATTAAATTTGTTATTAAATTATCAATAGAAAAATCGTGTTAATATAGCATTAAGCATTATAGGAAAATATTATAAAATAATGCTGAGTAGCATTTATACTGTATTTTACATGCAAAATGTTATTTTTCTCTTTCAATTTTTAACTTGCAAGTCCTATTTTTAGAATTTGCAATATCCCTCCTTTACATTTATATAAGTTTATCCATCTGTCTTCCAATTTATAGGCTGAATTGGTTATTCCAGTTCCAAGGTATTGATACAAGTTTTTCATACTTATGATTATCACGCACAATCACTGATATTGATTTTCGAAATAGTGATAGCAATGTTAATTAATGACCGCACAATATTGCCCCTTTAGAACTCACAGCTACGCAAGAGTGGGCATATCCGTCATGACCGTCCATTGTTTACTTTCGCGTCGATAAGTCGGTTTATCCCGACGATTCGATGTTGAGGGAAACGAGACAATCGTTATTACAAAGAGGAACGCTTGGAAAATCGAAAGAAACGCGGCGAGATTAAACTTTCTTTCCCCTCCCGTCCTCCATCCGTGTCGTTTATGATCCTATTTGAGTTAACGGCGTCTCTTCGAACACACAATCCACGGTACTAGATAGTCAAATTTAGCGTTAAATGTGCGGCGGTTTGATCTCGAATCTCGACATTTCCATTCCATTGGTGAAACACCATCTAATGCCAGGATATAGCCATTTTTATCACTAAACGGCAAGAAAATCCGAGTCCATCATTTTGCGTTTTACGAGGGCATTCAGGATCTTGCGATCCCTGCGAGAACAGGTAGATGAGCCTGAAGTCAATTGTAACAAAAGAGAATTATATTATACATTATAGTTAATATATCCCTGAATCACATTGAATTATAGAGAGCGCACGAAAATTTTGAAATATTTTTTTAACTTACGACTCGTTAAGAACGTTCCTTTTTATATTCGACTTTTATATTCCTCTTGACACTTGGACTCTTTAAATTGACTTCAGACTATTCTGTATATCGCGTAGAAAAAAAGACTTACACGGAAACCTAAGGCATGCTGAGAACTTTACTGATCCGTTATTTCTAGAAAATGAACCGCAACCTCTCGAATACGTTATTAGCATAGTGTAATTTGCATATCATAATTCGCACTTACGAGTTGTTCATTTACTTATGTTGAAGTTACTTGCCTTGCTTATGTGTATTATACAGTTGCGCTGCGATTCTTGTCTTTTGCGAGTAATTCTTACAAAATGAAAAATCAATCCGACACGTATCGTACGTAGAAAACAGAGTTTTCACTGCCGATCCTAAAGTCAATACTATAGATAGTCCATTGACCGCGTATACATGTTGATAAATATTTTTATCTTCTTAAACACACACACATACACATAATATACATAAACACATGTAAAATGTATATTAAACGGCCATTCGCCGTATCACGCCGATTTTTACGATGTTAATCGCTCATTAAAAACCTACGTACATCCCAGACAGCACACATGTCCAAAAGACATCTAAAAGACGACTTGAAGACGTCTTAAATCCTTTAGACATTTTTTGGCCTTTTTTTGTGCTGTCTGGGATTTGTGTTTACTGATGACTCCAACCAACCGAGATAATGAGAGGTCCAAGTTTCTCGTCACGAGAACGAGTCGAGTTTGCGTTTTCACCCAGACAGCACAGAAATATCCGAAGGACATCCATAAGATGATCATTAAGGATATTGAGGATATCCACAGATAATCCGTTTTACGTTCTTCGGACATTCAGCGAACGTGGTATATCTGTTTGAAATTGATGGACATGCTTTAATCCCTAAATAATAATATAATTTATCTATTTCAATATATAAAATTTTATCTATTCAATTATAAAATTTTACATAAAAATTTTATTTATAATTTATACTCGCATATTACACTTTACATTTTAAATAGATAATGAACGGATTATTGTCGTTTATTGGCCGACATTTATTTGTCCGACTTATAAAATCAATTTAATATCTGAAACTCTTGCATTGAGATTAGAAATTAAATTGAACAGTATATTTTTAATCTTATTTGTTACTTTTCGCAAACTTTATATAATTCTCATAACTAAAACTTAAATAACACATCCTTGCGTGCTCGCGCGAAAGTCCTTGACGTCCAAGATCGGACATTTTGTGGTCCAAATATTGGCCGTTAGCGGATGTCCCGAATCGAATGTACGATGAACGGTCATTCATGTCTATGGACGTGCGGACGTAAAATGGACATAAAATGAATGTCCATAGAATGTCCTGTGCTATCTGGGCAGGAATGCGTTTAAAAGTGCGTTAAAAGTATGAATCGAAAAACCAGAATACGATATCAAGGTACACGACCGGTGCAGACTCATTCGAGTCGTCGACATCGCAATTTCGGTCTCAAATTCGCGATCAATTGTTACACGAGATGAAGATACACGAGACGAGAGAATGGGATTCTTCAAGGAGGAACAAAAGAATGGGGAGCCATCCCAGTGAATGTCTTGGCGTAGTGATATCTCGAACAAAGACAATAGTACATAAGTTTAAATTGCTACATGATTTTTAGTTAAGGGTATAAAGATACTCTACCGACAGCGCGAGGGAGATATTCGCGTCATGCATGATTATCGCGGATGCTCGTATTATTAGCTAAATGTTCGACACATATACATATATTTTTGCATTTATTTCCAATTACTAATTATGATTAAAACTAATGTAAATAGTGTGCGATAACGTCTCAGTGTTTCACGCGGTTGAGAGAGAGAGGGAAAAAATTAAAAAAAAAAGCCGAGAAAAAATCAAGTAATTCAAATGGATCATATGAGGGTCTTCACTATTACCTAGGCTATAAACGAAGTATTGCTTAGAGAAGGTAATAATGCTGTATATCCGCGCAAGGAGGAAGAAATTAAATTCCCGTTGATTGGACGAGACAGCGTTTTTTCCGTTCTTCGTCGAAAGCCTAAGTAGTCAGCGTATATATATTTTTGAAAAAAAAAAAAAATGATGATGACGACGACGAAACTCGATGCGTTTGGCCTATCGTAAGAGGGGGAGGGATATATATTGCCACAAGGGAGCCATGTAACGCACGATGCATTTGCGTTCCGGCGGTAAAGGGCTGTGACAATGAGAGGTGTAAGTCCCGAAGACATCGCGAGTCTTTCGATTGGGAGAACATCATTGTCGCCGATGATAGCAGCTCGCGACGATTTACGATAATTATAATAATTGTTATCATTTTCGCTTACATAAATATATATATATATATATATATATAAAATTCCATTGTTCGTTCCCGCGCGAAATCCTGTCTACTCGTCGGCGCGATGAGGTCTCCCTACAATGGTGTTCTTAACCAGGGATCGCAAAAGAAAGGGAAGAAGAAAGAAAAAAAAAAGGAGCGATGGGAAAAGAGATCTTCCGGCATCTTTCACATCTCACTACGGACGGTGAGGAATTGTTTGTAGGAAACAATTATACTTTATCCGCCCGGACGGTCACGTGCGTCACATCGCTCATCGCGGAGAGATTGTTTGAAAGTTTTATGAATAACGTTTTTCGTAGCGTACGCATATATATTGTTGTTTCTCATTACAGCGATTATTTGTTAACACAATAGATTCTACGAAGCTTATAAGACGAAAAAAGAGAGAGGAGGAGAGAAAAAAAAGAAGAAAAAAAAAGAGGAAGAGAAGAAGAGATAGAGAAAGAGAGAGAATGTATTGTTAAACCGCCGTTGTATATGGAGCCGTACAGTTCGGCTTAGACTGATGATAAGAAATTCACGTATGCTCAATTAGAGATGAACATGTTCGCGCATAATTAAGAGTTCTATTTACATATACATGTTTTATATTTGTAATTAAAAAAAAAAACAAATCATCTATACTTAATATTACCTGAAGATTATTATTAGATTTATGTAATCTCCAAAGTATTTGCTCATCAAAGTGCTAGGCATGTTAGACGGACCGCTATTCGTCCAAAATGGTACCTTGGAGATGGACATACCATCTAACACGTATGATATTTGATATTTTACATAATAATAATGATAACACTTGTAATTTCGTTGATTACTCTAAGACATAGTCAATCCTAATTATACAATCATTAAGGATATGGAAAAGAATCAATTAATCGTTTTACATGTATATATATAAATATATAAACGTATAATGTACATAGCACTTAGATAGACACGAAAGGAATGAAAGAAATGAAAATATTTGAACGAATTATATCAAACTACGAAAAAAAAAAAGAAAAAAAACGAATCGAGAGAGCTTTTGTATACTAGATGTATATTCACTTTATATATCGTTCTTTTTATCGCGATGATATAATTATCGATGATAAATAGAGATTAACGACAGCACAATTGTTTCTAAAAAATGCGACGAAATGATAAAAAACGCGAGTATCGCGAATCGATGACGAAATACAAAAAAAGGAAAAACGAAGAAGATCGCATCAGGACGAGTATGCGAATAATGCACGAGAGACATTACAAAAAATTGTATCCGTTCCAAAATTGATATCGCCAGTGTTCCACCGTCTTTGCGTCGCGCCATGTTTTTTACGACGACGGTCTTTTACGACAATTTTTTATTACGAACCGGGCTCTACTAATCTACTTTTTCACGCGTAGGAGATAATTTTTTATCCCTTTGTGCCGAGGGTTGCGCCAATAATCGAAACGAAAGTACGAGTTGTACTCTTCCTTCCCTTTCAAATTTGTACGTAACTATTATCGCTGCGACTGGTCTAAGTGTTGCTTCCGTTTTATGTGCCAACCGATCGATGTTGTTCTTCGACATGTGTAACATACCGTGTGTTAATGCGAAATGAGAACTATTACGAGAAAAAAAAAAAAAACACAAACAAATGATTAGCACCGCGGTCGACGGAAATTTCTCGGCGCTGCTTCTCCGAGTACAACAAAAATCAAAAAACGAAAGAAAATAAAGAAGAAAGAAAGGAAGAAACGGAGAAAAAGAGAAGATGGAAAATAGAAGCGAAAATGAAAAGCTCTCTGATCGGCGTAACGATCGATGTAACATAATTGAATGCCCACGATTAACTGATTAATGTACATATACATAGTATTTTTACATTCTAATTCTAAATTACATTTCCAATTCTAAATGGTATACACAACACTACACTCACTGTGAGCTTCGCTCCGTCATCTGTGTATTTGTTCGCGTTGACGACAGCTGTTTGTCGGTCCATCCCTCGTCGAACTAGATGTATTTCGTACAAAAATGCATTTATAACGAGATTATTGCTCATCCCCCTTTCTCTGTTTTTTTTTTTTTTAATTCCCGTGCACTTTCGCGCTGCTGCAAGACGTTCAATAAATATATGCCTTGTGCCTTCGCCGCACCGTTACTTAAACCGTAATATATAAGACAGAACGAAGGTAGAAGAGAAGAATAACCTTGGGTGCGATGCATTTATAACTTGTTTTTGAGACATGTTCGCGCGATTTGTCTGAATTGTACTTGTTGTCAAAATTTGTAGCAGGATATCGATCTTATTTTCAAGATATAAAAAAATTAAAAAGACATGTTATTTTTTTACATATTATTTGTTTAAAATATGATTACGTGTTTCTCGATCATTGTCGCACGGTCTTCTACAGAACTTAACGATGTGATTTATGTTCGAACTACTGCCAATATTTTTTACATTGATATTAAAACAAGAGCCATAAATGGTTGGTTTATATTTGCATACATAGAAACAGAGCGAAGCTCGACACGCTAGTCCTTAATTTAAAACCAAAGTAAAAGCAACATTGTGTAGCGTTTAAGAATCTCTATTACGTATACACACACCTGCGTGTCTATACAGACATAATTATAATTAACGATTCCAATCATTGTAATTAGATAAATGAACTAACCGATAAGCAGATAGGTAAAAATAAGCCACTCATTATGTGTATCATCTTGTTTTTCATTCGTAATTTTTCACTACACGATTAACATTTTACCTAGGGGAGCCTTTCGTCAGCTAGGATTATTCCGTATCTGTATGTCTGTATATTGTTTTCTATTGCAACTATTAAAAACTGATTGTCAACTTATAAATCGGTCTTTTATGTCTTTTTT